TACATACATACATACATACATACATACATACATACATACATACATACATACATACATACATACATATATTGTGTGTGTAGTGTGTGTGTATATGTATATATGTACGTGTGTGTGTGTATATGTATGTATGTATGTATGTATGTATAATGAGCTGCAATAGCTTTGGTGCAGATTGACAATTGAATATGATAAAGGAAGCCACGCTGAGCTTGCTGGGTAACTGAACTCCCACTGTATTGTGCACAAGGGCATTCACCGAGAGAGGGAATGAGGAGGAAGGCAAGGGAATGAATCAATAGGCTCTTAATATCTCTGCTTTGCAGAGTTGCAAAGGATTGTTGAAATGCATGCTTTCTTCCCCATCCCATCGGATTTCCGAAACAGAGAAGAGAGATGACACAAATATGAATGAGATTGAACGAGAGATTACTTCACTCTGCAGTTGGCTGGTCCTTCCCTCTGTGATCATTTCAGCTCTGTGGTGAAGCACAGCTTACTCCATCCCAATCATAAAACACATACAAATGCACAGTGTGTGGCTGCAGCTTGTCCTTTTCTACCCAGTGAGCAAAGCTGATGGGATTCAATCTGAGGGAAACAAAAAAAAAAACAAACCAATATTTCTCTCTTGACAAATATTATGCAAGATGTCAAGGTATATTAGTTGTGTATCAGAATAAATCACATAATGAGTGTGAATTGAGGTAGTGGGACTCTTCGGGGCTTCAACCAATCCCTTACATCTTACAATAAAATCAGCATAGGTTGTTATTTTAGGGTTTTTTTTTTTTAAAGTTGCATATTTAGTTTGTAATCTATTATTCAGCAAGGCAATTAGTGCTGTGTTATTTTAAGAGGTCTTTTTTTTAAGCTTCTAAAAAATGGAAGGTGTGTGTTTGCATTCCTGCTTTGCTGCAGTAAGTTTACAGATTTGAAAGCTTCAGCAAAGTTACACTCACATTTTCCTCCTCCTAGTTCTAAATTAATGTTGCGTAGATCCCCCAACAATTGAAAGTAATAGGCTAGATCAGGAGTCGTCAACCTTTCAAACCTCAGGGACCACTAAATTCATAATTTTAAATCCTGCAAACCACTAATATTGATTTCTTTTTTTAAAAAAAAAAGATAGATAGCATTTAGTGCAATATAAAAAAATGCAAATAATTTTTTCTGCGGATCACCAAAATTTTCTCATGGACCACTGGACTAGATGATCACATTCTGCCATGTATATTTGTGCTGATTGCTAACTGCCAACTGCCAGGAATTTGGCAATTTTATTCTCATTGACTCAAGGTTGTCTCAACCTTCCATCCTTCCGAGGTGAGTAAAATGAGGACTCAGATTATTGGGTGCAAGAGGCTGACTCTGTAAACCATTAGAGAGGGCTGTAAAGCACTGTGAAGCAGCTATATAAGTCTAAGTTCTATTGTTATTAGGAGCCCTGGTGGTACAGTGGTTAAAATGAAGTATTGCAGGCTAACTTTGCTCACAGTCTGGAGTTCAAACCCCACCAGGCTCAAGGTTGACTCAGCCTTCCATCCTTCCAAGTTGGGTAAAATGAGGACCCAGGTTATTGGGGGCAAAATGCTGACTCTGTAAACTGCTTAGAGAGGGCTGTAAAGCACTTTGAAGTGGTATATAAATCTAAGTGCTATTGCTATTACTAATTCAGATCACAAGTCAGCTGGGGTTTTTTTCCCCTCCACTTTGAATTATGGCAAGAATATAAGAAATGCACATTGCTATTACATACCTGGTAAATACAAACCTTCATTCAATCCAATACAAATCTCTAATCTTATGCGTAACTAAGCCGATATAACTATTCAGTTATGACATTTCTTATGCGGTACATAAGTATGTAGAATGAAACCAGGGCCACCCACAAGAGCAACAGGCTTTAATGCAATAAATGTATTAGAAAACATTTTGATGCAAATATTACTTAATCAGAAACAATTTACATCTTCATTATCACTGATTACCATGGCAATTAAAATCACCTGTAAACTTAGTGGCATAAGAATGAAAGGAGGAATGAACTGCCTCACTTACTATTAGTGTTGAATTAATTGTTTTGAAAGGTATATTAACATTCCCTTAACACAGACGAGCATAATAGAGTGAATTTATTATTGGGGATTGACGGCTATCTCGCAATGTCAAGGTATTTCGCCTCGGAAAACACATTAGCATCCAAATAGCTAAATCCTAAGCCCACGTCTATTAATATTCAAAATTGCATTATGTGAATAGCTTCATTGTGCTTCATGCGGCAGAGTTAATTCTGTTCTTCTGATTAACAATCCAGGGTAAGAGACCCAATTGCTGTTAAAATAGATGAATCCGTCCGTTTTAACTTCCCTTGACAGATCTAGGTAACTAATGCAGCTCTGAAATGTATGAAGCACAGTTACAGATCATTTTATCTGACAGCTAAATGCCTTTGCCCTGCACTGAAACCATCTGGATGATAGCAGTCCGTTGACCTCATGCTTGGACAGCCATTGGTTTCATTGATCATGATAATGGATTACAGGAGGATAAAAAAAAAAAGTCTTGAAACATCACAAGGACAAATGACATTTTGATAGGGTGCTAAAACATGATTTCTGAGGGTTGTTGTTGCTGGTTGCAAAGTCGTGTCTGACCCATCGCGAACCCATGGGCAACGTTCCTCCAGGCCTCCCTCTGTTCTCCGCCATCCTCTGGAGTCCATTGAAACTCACGCCGACTGCTTCAATGACTTCATCCAGCAACCTCGTTCTTTGTTGTCTCCTTCTTCTTTTGCCCTCAATCTTTCCCAGCATTAGG